GCCCAGAGTCACCCATTGGGGGAGATGGGCGGCATACAAATTTGAAAAATAAATAAAATAATAAATAAATAAATAACCTACTTTTCCTTTTGATGTTAGAGCACTTGCTTCTTAAGCAGAAGGTTTCAGGTTTGATCCTTGAGATCTTCCATTGGTTGGAAAGACACTAGTGAGAATTACTGAAAAAAAACCCTTAACAGATAATACTGAGTTAGATGGGTTAGGTACTTATTTCATACAAAGTAGTCATCTGAGTTTCCATATGAGTGTGAATCACTTGTGAGCCCACGTATAAACAAGGATATTATAAAAAGTCACAGTATGTACTTAGGATAGAGGGGTATAACCTGAGATGCCAGGAACATATGTGGCCCCATAGAAGACTTGAGTACAGTCCGCAGAAACCTCCAAACTCTAATTCTTCATATGACAAAAATGGAATATTATTAAATACATGACTGGAGAATAGAATAATTCTTTTGGCTCTGTTAATATAAGCAAGCTGAAATTTTATTTATTTATTTACAGGACATATATGGCCGCCTATCTCATATAATGACTCTAGGTGACTCACAATAATCTATGAAAACATGGTTAAAAACAAAAGTATTCTTCCCCCCAGGTGCCAGACCAAACATCCTCATAGCTTAACCCCCATCCTAGCCCAGTGCTTGGGGGAAGAGCCAGGTCTTCACAGCCCTCTGGAAAGCTTAAAGGTTAGGGATCCCTTGGATCTCAGGTGGGAGGCTGTTCCAAAGGGCTGAAATGAATTAAATCTATTTGTCCTATTCCACCCATCTCTTTCTTGGAGTTGTGTACTCCTGACTCAGGATTTATTCAGGCAATGAACTGAATAAACATTGGTGGGGGAAATCTAGTTTCCAGCTGAGTTCTTCTTCCTCTTTCATGTTTTCTCTGTTTTACAAATTTATGCTGCCTAAGGACTGTTTCTGTCAACATTCTTCCCCTTGCCATATGCTCTCAATATGAGTTGGGCTTTGAAAATTGACCATCAGGTCCTTTTCTGTCATTCAAGTCCATTTCATCTGAATTTTTTTCTTCCTTCAGGGTTCCAAATTTGTGATAACTGGTAATTAAGAGAAGTTTTCGAGAGCCCCTCTGTAATAACCAAGGAAGGTCAACTAGCCATTAGTTAAGCCTGGGATTTGCAAAGACAAAACAAAAAACCTAAATAGATATAAAATTTAAAAAGTGGTGCTATAAATTTTTAGTTTTCACTTGAGAATAGGAATATTAGCATACATAGCTACTTATGTTATTAAGAGCATAAATCAGAAGTTCATAAGTATGCTATTAACAATGGGGTGAATTTCAGGTGTGTGTGGGATAAATGTCAAAGGTGTATGGTGGAATTTGAATTTTTCAAAAGTGGATACTTTTTTACATAATTAACACAATAGTATTCATTTATCTTTTATGCTAAAAACGTATTCTTCCATCTCTGAACTCTGTACTGTGACCTATAGGGACAGGAAGTTCAGGGAATAATAACTGCAGAGAATTTCTGTCTGAAACTTGCTTTCCCTTGTGGCTTCATGCTGTAGGTAGCCATTAAAAGTGAATTACCATTTTGGGTAGTTAGGAAAATGGTTTTGTCTGTACGGGCGAGGGAGCCTTTTTGGTTTACTTGCAGGTGCCTAAATCCCATTGCTGCTGTCTAGCACAGGGTTTTTCAACCTTAGCAACTTTAAGACATGTGGACTTCAACTCCCAGAATTCCCCAGCCAGCCATCTTAAAGTTGCCAAGGTTGAGAAACACTGATCTAGCATGTATCTTGGAGTGTGGTAGGAATTTATAAAGAGTAGACATATGGGGAGAGGGATGTAAAGGGAGTGGGAGATGGTGGAGGGTGGGAGAGAGAGATCAGGAAAGGCATAATAAGTACCTGTCTGAAGAGAGAGAAAAAGCAAATGCTCCTTGAGTCTCAGAGGTATAAATTGTAAATACAGTTCTGTCATTTTTCATATACAAGTTATTTTCTAATTCTCATTTGAAAGCAAAGTCCTCTCTCTTGATGAGAGACAGCTGATGGAAATTGGGTTAAGAAATTCAGTTTTGAATTCCAGGCATGTCTGTTGCATATTTGTATCTGCATAAAAGTGATATTTCTAAAGTAATTCTGCTTCAGTGCTTCTTTTCTGACCATAACAGGCTTTTGATGCAGCAGAGCTTTTCAACAAAGGAAGAGGAGCCTATGAACTCTTGGTTTTGCTGCATTTTTTGGCTTCCTTACATGAGGCATTCTTCCAAATTGCTTTTGTGTTTAATGACCTAATGTCAGAGGGCCAATTTTATTTCTTGTGCTCTATGAAAGACACAACGGTGTTGAAAAAATGTTCCAGGAGTTGTGCAGTAGCTCTGTATTTTCTTTGAAATGTATTAGCATATGCTACAATTACTAGCGGGAGTACTTGGATATAGTTGCAAGAGAAGCTGAAGACACTGAAGATGTTGCACTGTAAAAAGTTAAAAAAAAAATCTCAGCTTCATAAGTATGTGGAAGGGAGTCTTGCTTAGAAACCCATATCAATCTTCCTAAGCATTTCCAAGGGTGAGTGGGACCAAATAAAATTAAAATTGTAGCCCAGGCATGCAATGCTGCAATGCATCCTCAAATGAATGTATTTACTTCCTATGGCTATGGCTTTCCAAGATGACAGTAATACAGCACACAGAACATTCCAGTTTTGAGTAGTGGTGGTGCCTACATTATTTATAGGAAGGTTGGGTGCAAGGGGGCCAACGCTTAATGTTTTTTTGGGGGGGGGATTTGTAGGAGGAACATTGGTTTTCTAAACTATATAAATATGACAAATAAATAAATAAACAAACTGTATTATGCCTATTTTATGATATACACTACAGTTTCCATATTTTTCCAATCGCAAAATATCAGAAAATTGTGCCTTCAGTTTTCGGTTGTCATGGACAGAAAAAGGGGAGCGGAGGATAGGCTGCCCATTGCCCATCCTTGGTTTATAGATAGTTCTCCCTTTTTAACAGAGTTGGTATGATTATGCAGTTCAGTCCATAACCAGATGAAAAAGTTCATGTGAATTGACACTCTGGGTCTATGTTTCCACTGGTGATGTCTTGACATAAAAAGTAATACTTTGTCACTCAAGCAAGGTCACCAGTTCCTTAGCTAAACTATTAAACTGCCTTAAATTATGTTTATTTGAGAACTTGTAATTTTGTCTATCTCTGTAAGGCCAGCCATCCTCACTGTGATAGATATTTGTCAGTCAGTTTTTTGTCTAAAAGCTAAAAGCTAAGGTGGTTGAGAAGGGGGTGGCACTGCAGCTCCAAAGGATTTTGGATGATACGGATTATCTGGACCCCTTTCAGTCAGGTTTCAGGCCCGGATATGGAACAGAAACAGCATTGGTCGCACTTATGGATGATCTCTGGCGGGAGTGGGATGGAGATGGTAGATCCATCCTGGCTGTCCTTGACCTCTCAGCAGCTTTCAATACTGTTGACCATGATATCCTTCTGGACTGACTCAGGGAGTTGGGGGTGGGCGGTGTAGTCTTGCGTTGGTTCGCCTCCTTCCT